AAATAAAATATCAATTTAATTAACACATTTATTTTACAAAAACATTAAAAAAAATCATAAAACTTTAGTATTTAATTTGAATAAAATTTACCGATTAATACCTAAAAACTCTTTTACGTTTCATATCAAGTTAGAAAATTTTATAAATGGAGTATAATTTAAAAGGTAAGATATATCTCTCTTTGAATAAATAAAGTTGATCTCTCAAATTTGATTTAAACTTAGACTTTTACAATTAATAGAAACTATAATTATATTAAAAGAAATATATGCATTGTAAGAATTATGCCAGATACCCATGAGTTTGAATGGGTTGGTTCAAGGGTTCGTGGATTTAAAACTTCAAACCTATTACCCGAACCAAATACCAATGGGTTTGAATGGGTTGGTTTGGGTTGGACCCGTACATGATTGGGTTGGGTAAAAATAAGGATTGGGTTCGTGGGTTGGCTCGTACCCATGAACACCCATACTTGCCATATTATTTTTTATTTCAACACTTATCTATAACCTTGAATCTTATTATAATGAGGCTTGAGATAACGCTTCATGATAACCTCCATCATTATAAAAAAACTTATTAATTAGAGATCTTCACTAACTTCACTGAATGCCACTTGCCATAAGGTGTCATCTCCATAGATAGGCACAAATAACTTGATCACTAAGCACACACATCTTTATCATCACAACTTGATTAACAAAACTTGATCAACATAACTTTTATATTCAAGCACATCCACTTGATCAGTGAATTAGATGCTCTTCAGGATTCATCTTGATTAACGCATCTTGATCAACACATCTCAATCTTCAAGAAACATCACTTGGTAAACATGTCAAGCATCATCACTTGATCCACATATCAAGCACCATCACTCTATCAACATATCAAACACCATCACTTGATCAACATATCAAGCACCACCACTTGATCATCATATTAAGCACAATCGCTTGATAAAAATATCAAGTGTCAACATATCAGATGATATCATTAAACAAGCCTTGAACAACAAGAATGATGAATACCTTTCTAAAGAACGTTGTCAACATAAAAAACAAATAAATCGCTACATAATCTATACCTACAAGCACATATATCCTCATTGTGACCCTTGTATATAATCCCAATGGAGTTTACACCTACAAGCTTACTTATGTTGGTGACATTATTATATTTGGGTCCTCATTAATTCATGTCACATAACTTCATAACCTCAACTATAAATTTACTCTAAAGCAACTTGAGCCAACTTGATTACTTTTTGGAAATTAAAGTGCTTCACCTAGAATCACGGGCCATATCACTAAACACGAACAAGTATTGCATGACTTATTATCCAAGGAAGATATGGAAGAAGCAAAATGTATTGGTTGAGTTATGGTTAGCATTGAACATATAACTTCATACACAAGAGGGAGTGAATTATGGAGGTTTGAAAATGTTGATTTTAAAAAAATCATTAGATAAATCAAAGTTTAAAACCATTTTATAAAAAGAGTTAAAAATTATCGTAAATTAAAAGTACATAATTGAAAAATAAATAGATAATGGAATAGAAATAACACCGTAGAATTATACGAGTTTGACTAAAAATACCTAATCATGTCCCTAAGAATTGATATTGAGAGTATCCATTATGCTTGAGTGTGTTTAGAAAGGTTGTGCCCATGAACCTCCTTATACGAGGAAATGAAGATTCGGGCTAACTACTAACCAAACAATAATCATAGCTTGAAGTTGTTAGTATTCACACCAAACAAAGATTTAGCACATGCTTATCTCAAACCAAGTGGGAGTTTTAATTTAACTATCCTTTGAACCAAACCAGGGCTATACACAGGGTGGCCACAAACCAAGCCCAGATTAATACCGAGATGATCTCGAATCTGCTGAGTTTTTTTTATGTCGCACAGAACTTAAAATCTGAGTGATATTTTACACCAAGTTGATCTCGAACTGATAGAAATTTTAACAAGGATAAGCTCAAGAGCCATTGTGGAATTTTTCCTGCATGACCTTCACGAACCAAAAAAGAGATATTCTTCAATGGCGGAGCTCAAGAACCAAATGGAGACTTAAACAAATCCCCCAAATACAAACAAGATATTTTTCAATGGTTTAGCTCCCAACCAAAATAGCAACTTCCTAAGTAACAATTATTTACTTAAGAGAAGAATATACTCCTGGAAAATTTACAATTTCACCTCCACCCAAGACAATATTCTTCACTAAACTAAAAAGCACTCGCAAAGCATTATGGCTAAAATAACTGAGAAAATAAGAAAGATTTAGAGAGGTGATGAGAGAAATAAAAGTGAGGTTTTTCATGTTTTCTGGTTATGAAAGGACATAGGGAAGCTCTCTATTTATATACCAATGCGTGATATAAATTTAGAAACAATCATTAAGAGAATGGAAGGTTTGGATACAATTGCGTTAGCAATCATTAAGAGAGTACCACAATCCATTATAGACTCAATTATTCATCATCTAATCAATTAGACATATGATCTAATCGATTATACTGCTCAAAAAGGTCTCATAATCATTTGAACACTCCCTTAATCAACTGGCTATAACTAAAACAATTGGTGATTTAGTTTTAAAAAATGAGAGGTTTCTTAATATTTTTAGTGTGTGTGATTTAGCAATAATGTTTCTTGAAATGCCATTGGTTCTTTATAAGTAACTAATCACTCAAACAAACACAATCAGGATAACTATCATATTTCCTCTATTTCATACTCTGAAGCTTCAAGTCTTGAGCCTCGACATTATTCTTTGACTTTAGTATCACACAAGAATCTCGAGTCTTCTCAATAAGGCTTGGAATATTCCCATATTAATTAGAGGCATCTGATATTTTAAAAGGTTAAACCACTAATGATCCTTGAAACCTTAGTCTTCACTTGAGATTTGTTGGACTATAATATTGATTTTATATAGGTATCTAGCTTGATTCGGGAGGATAGCTTGATTTCCGAGCATAACAGTGATACTCAGACTCCATTTTGATCAAGAAACATCACTTGAGTAACATACCAAACACCACCACTTAATAAATAACTTTTCAATCACCATAACTTGAGCAAACATGCAAGCATCATCACTTAAATAACATACCAAGCACCATCACTTGATAAACAAGTTGTCAAGCATTATCACTTGAGAAAAAACATCAAGTGTCATCACTTAGGTAACATAGAAATCACCATCGCTTGTTAAACAACTTGTTAAGTAGCATCACTTGAGCAATCATATCAAACATCGTTACTTGAGTAACATATCTTTGAACAACAAGATTGGTGAATAATCCTCTTAAGAGTGTTGTCAACATCAAAATCAAGTTAACATGTTGTTGTAGTCATCATACCTGCAAGCACATAGATCCATATTTCTCCCCATTTTTTATGATGACAATACATCTCTTAAAGTGGTAATAAAAGGAAAAACAAACAGGTAAACTTTGGAGTAGTTATACTCCCTCTCACATGAGTAGAGAGTATACTTCTTTCTCTTTGGCATAGTTAAAAAGACGGGAAAAAGTTGTTAAAAAGAAATGATGAACAAACATATACATGGTCCACACAATTTCCTAAGTAAAAGAACGAGTTACCTGGTAAAGAGATGAATCAGAACATAATCCAGAGTGAGGACAACATCAGTAGGACATAAGACCATACTCCTCTCTACGGGTGGTAGAATATAGCTTTAAGATCAAACGGTGGGTAAGTTCTAAAATACTTCCTCCCTTGATTATTTCTCGAACAGACTTCAATTAGTTTTTAAGATTTCTAGATTGAGAAGAACTTCTTGAATTTATTTATTTCATGTTGAGATTTCTTTAAGCAAATAATTATTTTCACATAGGAATTCTTTGGACAATCTATTTTCAGCCTCCTTAATATTTTGGCTTTGTATTGATATTGGACTCCAGGCATAGTATTTTCCACACGTCCTTTGCTTAGACAACATTTAAGCTCAACTGAAAGGTTAGTAAAACATAATTTTACATGACAATATATTTAATAAACCGCTTTCTAGAGAGTTAATCAAAATTTTGCGGTTGTTCATCCTCTATCTATTAAGCGTACTACCTCAAAATCTCACCAAATCTTGAGAAAAACTCCCCCTTTCAAGAGAACGACGAGAAATCGTCAAAAGTTTATTTTCAAGAATTGCTCGTACAAATGGTGGCCAAAAAGCAACAAGTGGTGGCCAGATTATAAGCAATGAAGTCTAATATAGGAGCATGGCTCATACAAATAAAGAGTTGTTTTGGATCCAATCCTTATTACAATTACTTCACATTTCTTTTCATACATCAACCTCTTTAGTAACAACCTCAATATAGTGGATCTCACTCATAATCCCATACGTGCACTCAAAAACTAAGCACATTGAACTTAATATGCATTTTGTGCGTGAAAAATCATCTCTAAACATTTGAGAGTTCTTTATCTCTCTGATACTAAGCAACTAACCGATCTTCTAACCAAACCTCTCTAACTACTTAACTATGTCATAATTTGGGACAAACCGAAAGGTTTGTCTTATAAAGCACCACCTAAAGTTTGTTGAATATAATAGAGTACAGTATAAGCCTATCTAATGTGTCATGCTTTTATGTTTAGGCAGTTGATGACATGTCACAATTAGTTAGGGAAGTTAAATGTCTTATAACTAACTTTGTTGTTGTGGAAAAATTAATAGTTAAATGACTCTTCTTTTTACAACCCTCCTATATAAAACAAGCTCTCTTGTAATTAAAACATAAGGAATAAAATGCTATTTCTATAAGCTTGCAAAACAATGGTGTTCATGAATTTTTTAAACAGTCCAAAACAATGTGTGTCATCTTTTTTAATCAAAGGCACAACAAATTTGTGTAATCTAATAATCATTCCATAAGTTATTTCCATACAATTGCACAATATATTTAATAAGATGCATATTGCATAAGCTGCAAATTCACAGGGATCATTAGTTAATTTCAAGAAATAAGTTGCCCAAGAGAAGATTGCAACTGTGTGTAGACAGAATTCCAACCATTTTGAGAAGGATGAACATAATCCCAAAAGAATGAATCCTCTGGTTTATCACATAAACTATATTTCTTTTCTCCCTTATCATCCACAACTCCACAAGAATTTTTAAAACCATCTCCATTACAACACGGTTTTAACAATGGATTCAGCAGTTTCAAGTTTTCTGCACAAAAGAGAAAACATTACATCTCCATTAGATACACACATTTCACTACACACAAAAATAAAGTAAAAAATAAAAACAACTTACCATCTTGATTTTCCTGCATCATTTTAATTGTAGAAAGGAACGCGTTGTAGAGGTCTAGTGTAACGAAAACCGATTTTCCAACTTGTTGGTTAAGTTCTTCTACGGTTTGAAGCAATACTTGATTGTGATTTTGAGATACCACATTTAAAAGATCAACACAACTAAGATGAAAAGTTACCACAGTTATCTGAGGCAAACATCCAATAGGTTCCAATAACCCAATTGCTATTTTGTTAACTCCCAAATTGTGAATACGTTGAACATTTATTGATAATTGCTTGATAAGAGTTTCAGTGAAAGATTTTATCTCCTAAACATAGTAAAAGAAAAATTCAATAAAAATTAGATATCATCTGCACGCAAATGTATAAATGATAACAAAATAATGTTAAGCACTTACCGTAATGCTTTTATTGTTTACTATAAAAGCAGTGTAATCGTTTCCAGAAACGGCTACAAGAGCAACCGAAGATTCGAGGTCTTGTTTGGTATAGGCATTTTGTTTGATTAGATTTTCGAGTGAGTCGATTTGAAGAGTCATGTTTGGTCCTTTAGTTAATGTTTCAAAAACACCAGTTCCTCCCTGAGCAAAGTTGATTCCATATTGTAGATTTGAGGAATTCTTCAAAGAGTATGGTGTAGGGCTTTCAATTTTCAGAAACGAAGCTGCATGCATCAGGAACTATGACCAAAAAAATATATAGTAATAGAAATATAACGGGCTTAATAATTATTATTTAGGATTGAAGGCTTAAAACACTTTTACCAAGATGTCTCATAATATAAATATTAACTGTATTGTTATTTTATAATATTATTTACCAAAATATACATAATATAAAACTAGTAAGAGATAGGGATCACTCAAAAAATAATAATAATAATAATCCGGGAAAGTTTAAAAAGATAAGTTTATTTTGTATTTTTTTTAGTTTTTAACACCACCAGCCCACGGTCCACTGGACCGTCTAATCTGCTTCGATTGCGGCATTCGAACCGTAGTCTTCCTTACCAAATTCAACGTCAATTATACTCAATTTAATGAATATATTTGCTTATAAAAAAATATATTGTCATTATTGTTATTATTAAGTATTAATAAATAATATTTTCTTCATCCTTAATTATAGGAAAAAAATTATTTTTAAATTTATTTATTTATTTTATACTTATTGAAACATTGAACAAAATATAAACCAAATAGATAATTTATTTAATAATTTCAAAAAATAAATTTTAGAACAAGAATCAGATAAAGTATATTGTTTGTTATTTAATGCTGGTGTGATTTTTGTTTATTTTTATAATTCTTAATATTTAAACTTAAATGTTTGATAAAAATAATTATGAGTAATAACTAGTAGGGAAAAATATCCCCATAAAACTGGAAAAAATTATTTGTAATGGAAATATTCAAATAGTTCCCTTTATACCTCAATCTAGCTAAACAAGTTTGACTATGTAACCGAAATTCAGCATGAAAATAAGTAACGTCTGTTTGGAATGATTGATTTTTAATTGAGATTCATGAATGAGAGAAAAGAGTACGTTACCAATGTAATCAGAGAGTACACGACCATCGGAGAATCTTCCAGCTGGTTTTCCAGGATATGTGATTCCATAAGGATCTCTATACGATGGTGAGTCCAAGAAATTTCCTGTGTCAACATAGGAGTCTCCGAATACAAACAGTTTTACGCTGTTGCTGTCATATACTCCATATGTTTTCTTAGTTCCTTCCACCATTTCTGCAACATTGATGAATTAGTATACTTACAAATAAATGAATAAAATGAAAAGAGTAAAGTACCTGTTATTGAAGTGAGAAGAAGAAGGAGTAAAGGGAGAAACGTGATTGCGAGATGTTTTGCCATTGATGAACTAAAGTATTTGAAATGTGAAACTCTATCTTCTCTTGGATCCTATTTATAAGAAGAAAAGAAATGTAAAATTAGGTAGACAAAATAATTAAGCACTATCTCACTCTTAAATTATATACTACTATCTTTTTAATAACATTTGTTTTTCCAAAATATGTCGTTATATAAAATAAAGTATTACTATTTTTTACATTATCGTAATCTTTAAATAGGTGTCATATTTGAATATTCCACGTATATTATTAAAAAGTGTGGTAAATGAAAGAAATAAAATAGTGATTTGATTCGATTATTTTTAAGAGTTATTGATGTATTTTAATTATTATAAAATACATAGTGGAAGAATACAATTGATCAAAAATAAAAGTATTTATCATAAAATTGGAAAATACGAATAAAAATGAAACAAAAAAAGAAATTTGTGAAAATGATTTTTCAAAATACACTTAATTTAGGACAAATGGAGAATACTATTTATTATTTTATTTTCCCAAGTTTTATTATTTATTATTCTCATGCCATTGATATGTTGTTTGAGAGTTTGTTTTATTAGTAATAATTCATATTTTATTATATTATTTTCTTAAGCCCATAAGTTTGTTAGAGGGCATTTCAGTATTTTATCTTATTCTAGTAACCCTAGTTTTAGCCTATAAATAGGGTGATAATCATTGTAACTCAAAAATCCTGTTTCTTCTGCCGTCATTCTTAAATAGAATATTTCTACCTTTCATCATTTATTCTACCTTTGCACCAACAGATTCATTGGGAAACACGGGAAACACGAGTGAACGTGAGGTCTTGTGTGTTTGATTTTGATTCTTAGATTCGTGTTGAATCTTGAACAAAATCTGATCAGAATTTTATTCTGTGGGTTCTTGAACAAAATCTGATCAGAATTTTATTCTGTGGGTTGGGAAACACTGTGTGAGAAATCTGAGTGTATTGTGCAAAGTAGAAGATGAACGGAAACGGCAACATGAACACCAAACTTCCAGTATTTGATGGTAAAAACTGGAATCGTTGGATGATCCAAATGCGTGTACTATTTGGTGCTCAAGATGTTCTAGATCTTGTCACTGATGGTTATGTTCCAGTAGCAGCAGATGCAACCGATGAACAGAAAAACGCGCAGAAGGAAGTAAGGAAGAAGGATCAGAAAGCATTGTTCTTCATTCATCAATGTGTGGATGTAAACGTGTTTGAGAAGATTGCAGACTCTACAACAGCAAAGGCTGCATGGGACACTCTGGTGAGATGTTATGGTGGTGACGCATCAGTGAAGAAGGTGAAACTTCAGTCCTTGAGAAAGCAATATGAGAATCTCAACATGAAGAATAATGAGAAAGTTTCTGAATACATCTCCAGAGTGATTCTGATCACTAATGAGATGAAGGCGTGTGGAGAAACTCTTTCTGAAGAAACAATCATGGAGAAGGTATTGAGATCCCTTACCTCTCAATTTGATTACATTGTGGTAGCAATAGAACATTCCAAAGATCTGAGTACCATGAGAATTGAAGAGCTGCAGAGCAGTTTAGAAGCGCAAGAGTTGCGTTTGACTGAAAGAACTTCTGAAAGGGAAGTAGAGCAGCAGGCTCTGAAAGCAACTTCTGATAGGAGGTATCAGAAGCAGTCAGAAGCCAGGAGAAGATCTGATGGTGGTCAGAAGTCAGAAAGCTCAACCTCTGATAGACAAAAGAATGCTCAGAAGGGAAAAGAGAAGTATGACAAGAAGAAGATCCAATGTTACTGTTGTAAGAAGTTTGGTCACTTTGCTAGAGATTGTTGGTCAAACAAGGAGAAGAAATCAGAAGAAGCAAATATAGCCAGAGGCTCTGATGACGAATCTGTGCTGTTGATGGCCTCTGAATCTGATAATGTGCATCTGACAGACTGGTGGTATATGGACACTGGCTGTTCAAATCATCTTACTGGAAACAAGAAATGGCTGGTTGACTTTGACTCTGAAAAGAGAACAAAGATCAGATGTGCTGATGACAAATATCTTAATGCAGAAGGTATGGGAAATGTCAGAGTGACTCTGAACAATGGGAAAATAGCATTGATTCAGAATGTGTGGTATGTACCTGGCATCAGAAGCAATCTGATGAGTGTGGGACAATTAATTGAGAAAGGTTTCTCAGTTACCATGAAGGACAATCTTCTGAAGCTGTATGACTGTAATCAGAAGTTGATTATGGAGTCAGAACAGGGAAGGAATAGAACATTCAAGGTGAATGTCAGAACTGCAGACTCAGAGTGTCTTAGTGCAACAAGTACTGAGAAGGAGAGTGAGCTATGGCACAGAAGATTTGGTCATTTGAATTTCAGAAGCTTACAACATCTGAATTCAAAGAAATTGGTACATGGAATTCCTGCAATTAAGAAGCCTGAAAAGTCATGCAAAGTTTGCATGGAAGGAAAACAACCAAGATTGCCATTTGCATCAGAAGCTGCTCCAAGAGCAAAACATGTCTTGGGAGTTGTACACTCTGATGTGTGTGGTCCATTTCCAGTAGCATCAATTGGAGGGAACAAATACTTTGTGTTGTTTGTTGATGAATTCACAAGAATGACATGGGTATCCCTTATTAAGTTCAAACACGAGGTGTTTGATGAATTCAAGAAGTTCAGAATGAAGGCTGAGAATCAGAGTGGTCAGAAGTTGAAGATTCTTAGAACTGATGGTGGAGGTGAGTATAACTCCAAAGAGTTCCAGAAGTTCTGTGAGGAGAATGGAATTGAGCATGAGGTTACTGCTCCTTATACCCCTCAACACAATGGTCTTGCTGAAAGAAGAAACCGCACTCTGCTTGATATGGTGAGAAGCATGCTAAAGGAGAAGAAGCTTCCTCAGAAGCTCTGGGGAGAAGTTGTTGCCACTGCAACGTATGTACTCAACAGATGTCCTACGAAGAAGTTGAAGGAAATAGTTCCTATGCAGAAGTGGACTGGAGACAAGCAAAGTGTTAGTCATCTGAAGGTGTTTGGTTCTGTTTGCTATAAACATGTTCCAGAAGCCAGAAGACAGAAGCTGGATGATAGAAGCAAAGTGATGATTCTGATAGGGTACCACAGTACAGGTGCATACAAGCTCTATTGTCCAGAAACCAATAAAATTGAATTCAGCAGAGATGTGATTGTGAAGGAATCAGAAGTTTGGAATTGGGATAAGTCTCAATCTGATTCTGATGTTAGAACCTCTGAAGAAAGGTCAGAGTTAAGAACTTCTGAAGTTGAAGTAAACTCTGAAGTTGATTCTGACTCTGATACTGATTCAAACTCTGAAGAAGACTCAGAAGATGAAGGTGACCCAGATGACCCAGACTCTGATGATTCAGACTCTGATGGCAATCCAGATCTTGGTGGCAATTCAGACTCTGGAAATATGCCAGACTCTGAAGATGGTCAAAGCTCTGGAGGTCAATCATCTGAAGCTAGAAACTCTGAAGCTCAAGACTCTGAACAAGTTCAGAGACCACAAAGAATCAGAAGCGTTCCCAGAAGATTTGCAGAATTTGACATGCTGCAAGACACTGAAGTAGACTCTGAAGGAGAAGTTATTCAGTGTGCCATGTTAGTAGACTCTGAACCTATAAGTACAGAGGAGGCTCTTAAGCAGAAGCTCTGGCTGAAGGCCATGAAAGAAGAACTTGATGCTATAGAGAGAAACAAGACTTGGAAGCTGACAGAACTTCCAAAAGACAAGAAAGCCATCAGCGACAGATGGGTTTTCAAGCAGAAGTTAAAGCCAGATGGCTCAATTGGCAAACATAAAGCAAGGTTGGTAGCCAGAGGATTTCTACAGAAACCTGGGCTGGATTATTCTGAAGTGTTTGCACCTGTAGCAAGACATGAAACAATCAGAATGGTGATTGCAATAGCTGCTAACAGGAATTGGCCTCTGATGCATTTAGATGTAAAATCTGCATTTCTGAATGGTCCATTAGAAGAAGAAGTTTACGTGTCACAACCTCCTGGATTTGTGAAAAAGAATCAGGAAGGGATGGTGTACAGATTATACAAAGCTCTATATGGATTGAAACAAGCGCCCAGAGCTTGAAATCAGAAGATTGATTCATTTTTCAAGAAGCAAGGCTTTCAGAAATGTGAGATGGAGTACGGTGTCTATGTTCAGCATACTTCTGAAGGCAATATGACTCTGGTAGGTTTATATGTTGATGATATACTATTGACTGGAAGTTCTGAACAGGAGATAGCCAAGTTCAAGAAGGTTCTAATGAATGAATTTGAAATGACTGATCTAGGCAAAATGACATACTTTCTAGGGATGGAGTTCAGATATTCTGAGAAAGGTATCATTTTGCATCAGCTCAAGTATGAATTAGAACTTCTGAAGAGATTTGATCTGAAGAATTGTAAGATGGCTGTCACACCTTCTGATACAAATCAGAAACTGGATTCAGACTCTGAAGGAAAGGATGTGGATGCTACAACCTTCAAACAGTTGGTTGGTTCTCTGAGGTATCTGTGCAATACCAGACCTGATATTTGCTACTCAGTTGGGATGGTTAGTAGGTTCATGAGTAAACCTAAGTGGTCCCATTACCAAGCTGCTGTCAGGATTCTGAGGTATATCAAAGGAACTCTGAAGTATGGAGTGTTATTTCCCTCTGGAGGAAATAATGAGTCAGAACTTCTGAGTTATTCAGACTCGGATTGGTGTGGAGACAGAGTTGACAGAAGAAGTACATCTGGGTACTTGTTCAAATTTCTGGGAGGTCCCATTTCTTGGTGTTCCAAGAAGCAACCTGTTGTGGCGTTGTCAACCTGTGAAGCTGAATACATTGCAGGTGCTGTTACTGCATGCCAAGCTGTGTGGATTCTGAATCTGTTGCAGGATCTGAAGATTAAGGTAGACAAACCTCTGAAGTTGATGATTGACAACAAGTCTGCAATCAACCTTGCCAGAAACCCAGTGTTGCATGGGAGAAGCAAGCATATTGAGACCAAGTATCATTTTCTGAGAC